TATATTTTTTTAAAATATATTTTAAATATATCTTTTTTTATTATAGCCGCAGACAAAAGAGAAGTGTAGATCTTACAATTTACATGCTTGCAAGAAAATATATAAATGTATAAATAGATTATGATACGATTCCTTTTCAATATGGTTTTTCTTCTAGCTCTAAAACAGGAAGACAGTCGGGGCAACATGCATACAATACAAAACATAGCATTTACCGGTTTCGATGAAATGTCTATTCAATCGTTTACCAATTAAAGATATAACAAAAGAATATATATACTTTATAGCGCGCAATATTACTTTTTTATAAAAATATACACTAGAAGACTGTAGAATAATTTATTGCATTTCTGGCGGAATAATATTGCGCGCTATAAAGTATATATATTCTTTTGTTATATCTTTATCCAATATTCCAAAATATTACTCTTACTCGATAAACTTTAAATGTATATTAGATTTCTCTGAAATATATATCTCCACTCTATTTATTTTAATTTTTAATTTAAAGTGCAGCGCAAAATGTTTGTAAGTATAATATAAATCTGTAATATAATTGTTTTAATATATATTTCAAGTTTATATGAGCTTAATTTCTTCTAAGAAAAGATCACACAAAGAGTTTAATACGGAATAGAGAGGTGTTCGACGTTTCATGAGTCTTGTAGCATGGAATGTACAATCTCTCGCTACTCTCAAAGTACACTAGTGAAATGGAAATCCTCGTACAAGTAACGAAAGTAAGTCGAGCCATGACTACTATCGCGCATTGCGTCAGAACGCCTAGATCTTGAAGGCGGACCTAGGCGTTCTACTCTGTGCGCTGGCATTCGTTTCAAGTACCATAGAAAAATAATCCGTTCATGGCTAGTTAATCAACACGTTAATGGATAATAAGCGATCAGTAGTCATGGTTGACCGACAATAATGACGCTGAATTACTCGATGAAATGTCTGATGCTGAACATTCAACGGAGATAGATTAGACGTCAAAATTTAACGGATATAGTATTATTATTTCATACCTGTTTAGAATCATCACCATGCCGAATAACAAATTGGCTGGCTGAAGATTCGTAAATGGCGCTATCGGAAACTGGTGATCTTTTAACAGGATCTTTGATATCGATCTCCAGCAGGACAATGTCATCGATGTTGGCTGATGACGATACCGTTTTTTTGGCGACATTAGCGATGGTTTCTTCACCAACGGAGACCGTCAAGAGACCTGTCCATTTTAAATATCATAACGTATAAAAAGAGTGAAAAATAGGATAGAAGGGAAAAGGGAACAAGCAGAGGCAGGATATAAAAACACCTCTTTTTTATTTTAAAAATATCTTATTTAATTTAACAAATTATTTCATTCAAATTAATTTTTTTTTTCTCTTTAACACAAATGTGTCTTTTACCAAAAAAATATATATTCTTTATTGACATTTCTCGTTTGCGCGTGATATGTATAGAGTGCGATTATTCCATATTTATTAAAAATTCTCCCATCGTTTATTGCATAAGATGTCGAATTCTATTCAAATATTATTTTGGGATTTGAATATGGTCGTTGAATAATTGAACGTGGAAATGACTTTTATATCGTTCTGCTTGACCGCGAGTGCTCAGAATAGAGCTGAGAAAGCAATGCGGAGAAAGTTACAATCGAACGCGTGTACTCAAGAAACTTTTCCCACGGATTTTGCTTTCAACGTTTTCAAGCGCCGAAAGAAATAAAGATCAATATGCTAAATTTATAAACGGTTTGATTGCAAATTGAAACGCATTATATTTAGCACATTATGTGTGTATACCTTTTGATTTGTAAGTGCTTTCTTCGTTGTCTGACAATAAAAATCACGAGAAATGACTGATGATAACAGGTTTGCCAGATTTTAAGCTCGATACACATCATTATTTCGTGTACACATACTGAATTTATAAGCTCGTAATAAAACAGCAAGCAATCTAAAATTTCTCTCCCAATTTTCCTGTACAAGAACGATCTTAAATTGAAATTATGTAAATCACTAGGGCAAAAATAAAAAATAAATGTTCACTTACAAATGCGTAAAATTTATGAAGGATTAAGTAAGGGATCAAGTAATAAAAGTGTTTTCCATGTTTAGTCTAAATAAACTTTTCTAATTATTTTAATTGATAAACGTATTTTAAAATTCATTGCGTTACAGTAAGATTATCAATATGTACTTTTCCCTTAATCCGTTCGATTTTGATTTCTTCATACAAGTCTTTTTGAAATATAATGAAATTTGAATTATTTTTTATCTTCAATGCCGATTGAAGATCTTTATTAAAGGCTATGCAAATTTTTGATTAATTTATCAGAAAACTTAATACTTAATTAAAGAGATGTTTAATCTGCGACGTAAAAGAATAAAAAGTTTCAACCAATATAATATAAAATAATATAAAATTTTTATTACAAAAAGGGAGACGCCAAATTTTTCAGATTCTATTATAAAAAATGTAATAATATAGTTAGAGAGAAGAACATCTCTCGCGTCCATATCGCTCTTATTCTCTCGTAACTACTATGTTTGGACGTGATCGTGCAGATCCTTTTGAAATTACTTAACAGAGGAAAGCGCGCATGGAGAGTCCGGTCAGCTTTCCTTCCTTTGTTAATTTGTAAGATTCCGCGGATGTGAGTAATTTTTTCTGCATTGAGTAATACTACGTACGCGTCCTTAGGTGGAAGGTGCGGTTAAGTAATATCCGTCATTCCGCGAGCGCGCGCCCGCGCGATTAACAAATCTTACCTAATTAACGCTTCGTGGAGCTTGCATCTCTGCTGCGAAAATGTTTATTATAGTCATTGCGGATTGCAACTTATTCAATACAAAAAATATCCTATTTTTCCATATATATACTGTTTATTATTTTTGTTATATCCTGTAACCAAATTTTCTAAAAATTAGAATATAATATGTATATGTACAATGTGCGTACTTGTATAAAGCGGTTTTTGTGAGATCTTTTATCTAATGTTGCTCGGTGTATTAATATTACTCTGCCATATCTATTTATATGCTATTATTGTGCTCTCTCAAATAAATTGTTAAATATCTATTTATTATATATAAAACTAATGTGTACGTCATATGTATATGTTTTTGATAATTATAAATTATAATAACTTTTATAATATTATACTATATTATAATAAATTATATAATTTTTAAAAACTTGTGAAAATAAATAACAAGACGATATTCTCTTACTGTGCTTTAAGTTAAATGAACGAGATTACTTTTAATGAGAATTGAAATATAAAAATGTGTTCAATACCAAAAATCAACAAATTCTACAATGATTTCTTTAATAGTTTATATAAATCATAAATAGATTTTTATATTAGTATTGCTATTATATCTTTTAAATAAGACTATGTTAAATCTGTTACAAAAACATTTTTTTAGCTTTATAATCAATAAACTGTGACATAGCTCTAATCGGATCTCTTGTTACATCGAACAATCATAAGATTGATACATGAGAACGCGTTGAGAGAAAAAAGATATTTTCTAATTAACGAACTCTCTCTCTCGATTGTGCTCCCACATAAAAATATTAATTATTTGACCTCCTTTGCGTTTCAAACTATTATATTTGCCTAACATCGGAAGTGAAGTCTAACGTTCTCATTGTGCGCATGAGAAGAGTAAAGCAATCTACAAAGTTAGAACTTTCTATGTCTTTTTTCTTTCCTTTTCTTTTCTTTCTCTCTTGATTGCTCTGTTTTGTTTTTCTTTCCTCTCTCTCTTTATTCATAATTTATATTATATATTTCATTGTATTTAAGTAATAATTGTATCTAAGAGTAATGATTATTAACAATATTTATTTCTCGATTATATTACTTCAATATTTTTATGCACGAAATAATGAAAAGAATCAATTGGTGTAAAAAAAACACAGTTGTTTTTAAGAAAAAATATGTAACTGCTCGTTCAAATTCATATTTTTTCTAAAAACAACTGTTTTTTACACCAATTGTATCCTCTCATTATTTTGTGCATAAAAGTATTGAGGTAAGAAAAATGAATATTTTACAAGATATTTTACAATTTATGTAAAATTATACCAAATTAAAGTATAAAATATCTTGTAAGCTATTCAATTTTTAGCTATTTTACTCTTATAACTTTTTACGCCTAATATTGCGAGGAATCTATTTATATAAAAAAATTAGGGTGGTTCTGTTTAAAAAAACTAGGTTGATCTTTAAATCTGCAAAATATCTCTATTATAAAAAAAGTAGATGTATTATGTAATGACCCCCTTCATACTATGCAACTTTTGTTTGAACTATTTTTTTATATAGCAAGTATTTTACGATTTATTTAAAATCCTCAAGTTAGATGACTCACCCTGTATAATTATCATCAAACAAAAGTTTAATCAACATTACACAAACACAAGCCGTCTTTCAAAACTATGACATTAAAGTCAATCTGTTCGAACTACGTCGAACGATTAAAAATGAAATTAGTAATGCAATTGAAACAATGCGAGATCTCATATCTCATCAATCTTTCATTCTCGGATAATTTTTCCTATACAATTGGATCGAGATTTCTCAAGGTCGTATAATATTTTAGTTTTATTATGGTAAGAAAAATTCTAGATAAAGTTCCTTTGCAAATTAATATTTTAAAATAGCATTCTCTCTTTTTAAATTGAATCTTGTTTGCAAATAAATGACTAAGGAAAAAGTTTTAATAAAATTATGATTTTAGATATTATAAAGTAATATCTAATAAAACTCGAGATATCACACATATGGTGAGGGGGAGGGGAGGTGGGGTAGAAGTGTGAGAAATATATTATACATTATATTTATCAAATATAATGTATAATTATCAAATTTTCATTTCTTGTATATATATATATACATTCCTACTCACAATTTTGTATTATTCAAAATGTTCAAATGTATCGTTATCGATTCACGAAATAAAATATAAAAAAATCTTCAGACCTAATAAAAGTTTTATATTTTACTATGAGATTGTATTTATCTCTTTAACTGTTTTATAAGATTGAAAGAGAGAAAGAGAGAGAGAGAGAGAGAGAGGAAAAATAAAAGCATGCTTAAGAAATAAAAATGTTGTAAAAGAGCCTTGATTGAAATATTCTAAAAAGATGGTATGCGTAGCGTTACAGCAGCATATATTGTCGTATACTATTACTAACAGTTTTCACTTTCCGTTCTAGCTTTCATTCTAGCTGCGCGTAGACTTCCGCCTCGAGCACGGGTTATCGTACCCATACTTGCTCGCTCGGATGATACATGTATACATATGTGGCAAATATACATCTATTATTTCAATATCTAGATTTGTATATGCATAAATCATCCTGACACGAAACAATGACGTGAAACAATAAATATATTTTCACGGTTGATAAAATTTACACTCATAATTACATATATGCGTACAAAAGTACCTTCCTTTCTACTACTTTCGGTTTGCAAGCTGGTTGCTGTAGCCACAGTTTCGAACTGTGTATTGGTTAGAAAGGCGATACCATTCGTTTGCACAGTACATTTGACGCGGATTTCTCAATCGACAGCGATATAAAACGTGAGATTTTTTATCTTGATCGCGCCATATGCATACCTGTAATCTATATCACAAATAATTTTGTTCTCAAAGTAAACAAATAATCTCTGTAAATAATGAGAACAATTGCGCAATTATATAAAGTATAAAAATATAAGGTATAAAAATTGTATAAAGCAGTTAACAAAATTAATGTATTGAAAAAAAGTATATATAGTATATATCTGTCTTTGTTATAGATTAAATCATATTCCATTACTATCTGTGCTATGAAATATATTTAGTAATATCTACAATGTGTTTCTCATTGTTCAGATGAAGAGTGTGTGAGGTAAACTTTTTTATATGATGTGCATACAATATGTATATATATATATATATATATTGTATATATTGTACATAATATATAACTCCAAATAAGGTCCAAAAAAAATTTTTAATTACTAAAGATTTTATTTTTAAATACGACCTATATTGATAAAATCAAGAATGTAGAATGATACCAATCAGAGATGCGTACCACATATACTCGTACGTGAGGCATGCAAGATAACGATATAACACGCAATAATCTAAAAAGAAAACGCATTTCTTAATTTGATGCTTCGCGAAGCAAAAGATCATAAAAGATATACAGATCCGAGTTCTCATTGTATCAGCATATCGAGAAGGAAATTAGGCAAAGAGAGAGAGAGAGAAAGAGAAAGCTTCCGGTTTCTCGCACGATCATTACATAGATTTCTTTCAAAGATGAGAAAATCCGATAACCATACATTATGAGAATGATGTTTTGTAGCGGTGTTATGAAGGAACTACGAAAAAACTCGTAAAAGAGAATGGAACTACGTAGCAAAAAGTATCGAGTAGAAATTGGAAGATTACAGTATGCAGCCTCTGTGTAAACATATGTCAGAAGAGCAACTTTCTAATTCATTTAATACATAAACATTGTCATCGATGATATATTCATAGAGAAGATTCACTGTTTTTATAAATTATAAATTTTGCAATATTGAAACGTGATAAAACGTAGATGCACCTGTAAATGAACTTTACCATATGAAGCATAGTACTAGCTTTACACAAAGTATAATAAATCTAATACCGGAAGTACAATTGGCCAGTGACCTGGAAAGTCAATACAATTGGTGATTTACGACAGCTCATACATCCTTGCCTTTCATTATAGTTAATTGAAATACTCATCTATAACTTTTGAAAACGAATTGACTTTCCTATCATCGAATAGGGAAGTGTCGATATCCACTTTCATAAAATTTTTTTTCATTAATGTATTATTTTCTTTTTTTATCTATAGATTTTTTGTATCAAGCAGAATACGCAAAGCATCAATTGTTAACATGGCTTTTAACACATTACAACTATGCTTATAATTAATTGAGCTAATTATAATTGATATAATAGACAATCTTTGTTAGAGCTATGCCAAAGTTAGTAAATTCTAACAGTTTATATATTTTTATATACATCTCATTAAATTGTATAAAATATTTAAGAGAGAACTAAACACACACATATTGTGTGTGTGTGTGTGTGTGTGTGTGTGTGTGTGTATATATATATATAAGCAATCTTATATAAAATTTCTGTAAGAATGTTTATCTCTACTTAAATATTTATAACACACTAGGAATACACACACATATACGTATATAGTTTTTATCAAAGGATGTAAAATCAAAGGGCGTAATTTCCTTGTACTTTTAGTATATATAAAAAAAATACTAAAACAAATATTTATATCGTGCAGTAGAAGAATCCAAAATGCATTTTTTCAAACTTTTCGCGAAAACTCCCATTCAATAGCAAAACCGTTTTTTTTTTGTTTTGTTTTTCTTTTTTTTCTTTTTTTTTTTGCACAAGATTCACATACGCGTTTTGTAAGGATAAGAAGCACACTCGTGAAATATCGTCGCACGTACACTCCGTAACATATTGTCCACAGAGAGAATGAAAAAAAGAACAATGGAAACAATGAGTCGTAAGCACTTTTACAGAGAAATAGTCTGTGAAAAAAAAAAATTTGTTCTTTTTCTGTTAAAACATAATGTATCGCACTTACCTGTAAAAATAAGCAGCCACATGGCGAGAGCAAAGTGACGGAGCGCTGTGCGAATGTTGAGTAAATGTGAATTTCTAGTGGCTTTATAGACCGAGGAGAAAGGCCGCGCCTGCAATCCGGATTAGGTGGGGTTTTCTTCTATCCGCTACCTTTCCATGGCATGTTGTGCACTCAAGTGCACATTAGGCATATATGCAAGCTTGGCAATGGAACTTCTTCATTTTCGTCACCTTCAATTATCTAGCGCAAATACAATTGGAAAACTTGATCGTTATTTTAATGAGATGCAAGATGTAGCGATAAATGTCGATTATCGCCAGTATATCGCTAGTAAGGACCATAGGTAGAGTAAAGAATAAGATAGTACACATTTATCGTAGAGATGTAATTTCCCGATTCTCTTTGTTTGATTTTCAAACTGGCCCAATGCCGAGCGCAATATTACAGTTGCACTGTGCATCCGCACCCGCATTTATCAATAGACTTTTTTCTCATAACGCGCATCATATGTTATATGTAAATTTACGTTGTTAAGTTACGTTGTATATATTAAATTTGCGTGATGCACGTGCGCACGCGAGCTGATATGACTAACAATAAGCGCATACGAAAGACCATTATACAATACAAATGCAATTGCTCTGCTCGCTACAAACTGTCGTGGGAAAAATAATTGACTGGAGCAAAACAAACTGGATATATATTAAATAAATATATAGTTTTCCCAGCCCTTTTTGATTCGTCACCGAATGATTCGTCATGAATAAATTTATATTAATTCTTTTACAGGTATACATGCATATATAAGATTATATGTATATGCATATATACAGTAAAAGATATAACTCCAGGTAAAAAAAAAATTTTTAAACATATCTTTATATTTCTTAATATCAACGCTTATTCGTGCAAACTTTAGATATTTTAAAGTGAGAAATAATTATAAACAAGAAACTTTCAAGCATAAAAATTTCCAAGAATAAAAATTACTCAATGTTATTCGAATGCGGCGGGGTACCCAATCCAGATATTATATAGTATATATACAATGTATATACAGGGTGTTCCAGGTCAGGTCAATGAAATTTCAAATTATTATAGGAAATTGAATTTGAAACAAAAAAGTTCCTATAAACATAGGTCCGGAAACGCTTCGTTAAAAAGTTATATCTAATAAACTTTCTGTAAGTAATTAGTTATGATCAAAATTTAATAAGAACATTTTTATGTTTGCATTTGCATTTATGTTTGCACTACTAATGTAGTGTTTATACAAAGAATATTGAATGGTGGTTTTTTCAAGTTTCTGCTTGTTTCGAGCTTATTTTCTTTTGAGCTTATTTTCTTTTGAACTCTTTATCAGAATTAAATAAAATTGGTATAATTTAGTTTGTTATTTAATTACCCATCAGATTTATTTCGTTACTTTTTCCAAATGAATGAAAGGTTTTGTAGTTATTTTTAAAAATCATCAGACAAACATGATTTTACGAAGTTTATTAGCTATAACTTTTTTACAAAGCGTTTCCGGACCTATGTTCATAGAAACTTCTTTTTTCCAAATTCAACTTCTTATAAAATCCTGAAGTTTCATTGATCTGACCTGGAACACCCTATCAGTATATTGGTGTCTGATCTTGTTTTTTACGAAACTGTGGCACACCGAATGCCTTCACTGGTGATACCAACACGCTTTCGCATTGCAGTCTCACGCTGTTTATTAGCCACAAACGAGCGTATAACGCGCTTATAATGAAACCCTGATTGCTCTAGTTTAGGTAGTCAGGTAATAACAAAATGGCAGAAAAATGCAATCGTCGACTAACCAAATATTTTACCAATTTTATTCTCGATAATTATCTTGTAGATAAAATAGTGTCAATGATGCAACGTTTTTCATTACCTGAATTAAAGTATATTAATTATTTTCAATTTTTCTAGATTTATCTTTCTCTTTATTGAATAACAAATTTTTTTATTATTTGCTTGCCTTTAAATTTAAAATTCACATACGCACATCAAAACAAATTTTAAACTCGTATTATTATGTACTTGTATTATTTTATATTACAAAGTGGAGATCGTGATTTTATTAAATTGTTTTGCTCTAGATAATCGTGAAACGCAAAGATATGAAATAATTCAATCGACAAAACGTTATAGTTTCCTTCAGAATGCAAATCTGTTAGATGTGTGAGAAAGCTAGCCAAAATCGAATTAATTTTTGTGAACATATTTTAATTAAGTACACTCTAATATTTTATGTATATTATAATATTTTCTTCTGAGAAAATCCATAACCACTCTAAATTTTTATTATTGTCTAATATATAATAATGATATTCTTGTCTCGTGTAATTTGATCTTTGTCTTGAGTCGATGTTAATTAGAGTACTTGTCGCAAATTGAGAAAGCAAGAGTATACCGAGATGTTATGTTTTTGGTGAGTCAGATACAGGGTGTCCTAGACCACCCGTACACCCCTTTTCTTTCAAAAACCAAGCATTTTAGAGAAAAACGTTTTAAACAAAAATTGTATGGTTTTGAGGGGAACATAAGATGGTGTCATTGGTTTGACCTTGGATGGCATCGTTAAGGTCAAGTCAAGGACATCTTTAATTTCTTAACAGGAATCCCCTATTTTTTCTTACATATTCTTGTAACTTATCTCGAGAGCTTTCCAAAACACTATAATAAAGTATTTTTTCATTCAGTATTTTAAAATAACTCAAAAAGTACTTAATGAAAAAATACTTTTTTATAGTGTTTTGGAAAGCTCTCGAGATAAGCTACAAGAATATGCAATAAAAAATATAGTATTCCATTTAAGAAATTAAACTTGACCTTAACGATGCCATCCAAGGTCAAACCAATGACACCATCTTATGTTCCCCTCAAAACCATACAATTTTTGTCCAAAACGTTTTTCTCTAAAATGCTTAGTTTTTGAAAGAAAAGGGGTGTACGGGTAGTCTAGGACACCCTGTATGTATGCCTTTCAATACAACAGGCCATAGGATTTTAATATATAATTTGAATATATAATGGACTATAAGATTTCTCTTAATTTGATGTTGTTTAATTATTAATGCGCTTTGATAAATCGTTCATATTTTGACAGTCTCAATTCGTATAATCTGTCTTATAAAATATTATATCTTAATCTTATTAATCGTTTACTGCTTAATCGATATATTTTAATTTCTTGTACTCGAACTTAAAAAAGAGAGGGAAAGTAAATATTAAATTAGAGATTACTTTGATGTCATTGCACAAACCACACTTATCGTAATACACGTCATCTCATTATTCAAGCATGACGCTTAGCGAGTATCACTTCATGCATGTCAGGCAACTCCATTTGTGCAATATACATATAACCGGAAATGGCACGATGGAATCTATCGTATTGTTCGCGCAACGAATACATTTTCACAATTTGATCAATGGTTTATCAACCAATCCACTAATATGTGTTAACAAACATTTTAACCGAAACAATCATAAATGACGAGGATCGAAGGAAGCCGTGCACGAGTTTATTTACATAAATTAGCCAAACAGATTTTATAAGCAACTTTCTAATTACATTCTGAAAGGTGTTTCGTTCTACAAACAGAAAAACATTGAAAAAATTGGTACTTTTTGCGCAACTTTTAACGTATTAACTGACAATTGCATTTTAAGTCATTAACTATGATTTGTGTAATGAATGATAGAAATAAAAGTTAATCGCATGTTTAAGAGATGCTTTATATTTATCATAAATAGACATCGGATTTTTTATGCAATTAAAAAAAACAAACAATTTATAACTAAGATTTAGGTTATTTATAATATCCAATATTTATACTGCAACATATACAAATATGCATTTTCTATGCAAAATGTATTTAAAATAATATGCATTATACTGGGTGTAACTAAACAAACGCATATGGACAATACTATCAGATACAGAACAACAATTCAAATCGAAAAGTCCTCAACCATTTTTTGATCTGAGTTTTCTTTTCATTGTTATATGATGTTAAAGTTAACTAATCAGCGCCTGTCTACAACGGAAAACAGAGAAGGTACGACGGGGGTCGGAGTAGAGAGACTGCTTTCTGGTGTATAATATCTGTGTATATGTATTAATATCTTTTTCCCGCGAAAAAAGGACGTGAGAATAAAGAAACTGTCTATCGAATTCTCTCTCTGTGAGTCAGAACCTTATTAACTAACCACCACCCTTCTGTAAAAACGTTGAGGGAGACTAACGGGTAGTTAGTTGGACGTCTCAACATACACACACACGCGCGCACGCACGACGCACGCACGCACGACGCACGCACGCACGACGCACGCACGCACGACGCACGCACGCACGACGCACGCACGCACACACGCACACACACACACAAGAGGCGTAAATCCGACCGTGCAACCTCCACGCGGTACACCTTGGGTAATGCGAATGCCAGCGGTATGTCAACTTTGAAGCTTCATATCTTGGGAATGACTTGCGCAAAAAACAAAAATAGGTAGTGTTTTGAAAACGTCTCGACGAGGGCTATGCAGTAAAAAATGGGGGTTTCCATTTAAGAAAACACCAATGAGCTTCACCTGACCTTAGTGGGTCACTCAAGGTCAAGTCCATAATTTTTATCATGTGTCCCCCTCAATATCCTACAACTTTTGTCTGGAACATTTTTCCATATTTAAAGTCGTTTCCGAGATCCAGAGGTGGGGTCAGACTTTAGAGATATCCTGTATAATATAATATATATATACATAATATATGTTAAATGGTGACACTAATACTATGCTAATATTTCAACATAAAATGAATGCAAACTTTGTAGTAATTTAAAATAAATTTTACGTAAAATCAACATACTTTTAATAATGAAACTTAGAAAAAAGTTATTGATAGTCTGAAATCATTCTCACTCTTATTATAGAATAAAATCAACTATTTTTTTCTGTAAATTTTAATAGATAAATCTTGTCATTAATAATACGGAACATATCTATTGTGTAAAATTAAAAATATGTGGACATTGTGTTAAATGTACACTTTTTTTCAGTTGTTTTAATAATTCAACATTTGAGTTCAATTAACACAACAGTAATATATTTAATTAATATATGAATGTATTAAATATTTAATACAAACATTTCAACCAACATATTTTTTTTTAACAAGAAAACAAATTTTCCACCTGTGTATTGATACAATTACTTTAAAATTACTTTAAAATTACTTTAATTAATACAATTACTTTAAAAATTTATATATTTATAAAAAAATGTATGAGAAAAACATTACAAATTATACAAAATAAATTATAATTTTTTAAATAAAATAATATTTAAGAGAATTATAATTTAAATCACAATAAACGATAATATTTTCTCAAAATTGAAGTATGTAAATTTGTGAAGTTTATCCGACAAAAAAATTATCTTGTAAGTAGAAAATAAACTAGAAAATAAAAAGGAACTGCCAACTTTATAATATAAACTACATAAAATTGTTTAAAATATTTAAAATATTTGAAAATATGCAAATAAGCACGAAATGTGCAAATATGCATAATATATGCAAATATGCACAAACATGCAAATATGCACAATATGCACAATTAAATATACATTTTTTAAATGCTTCTTCGATAAAACAGATTTCTATTTTGATCTTACTTCCCAATCTGCTTTCTAAAAAAATATGCAGTTACATAAAAATCCGATGTCTACATTCTCACTCTTATTATAGAATAAAATCAACTATTTTTTTCTGTAAATTTTAATAGATAAATCTTGTCATTAATAATACGGAA